TTCTAAACGAGAAAATTAGCTCATTACTTCATGAATAAACGACGGATAAAGAGTCTTTCAGAAAAGGGCGACGACGTGTTTTGTATTTACTAATTTAGCCATCATTAATGGATTTACTATTGGTATAATAAACTGAATGAGGATAAAGATAAAAAGATAAATAGGTGCGCAGATATAGATATTGGTAGATAGACTGAGAGACAAATGGATAAGTAGGTACATAAATAGATATACAGAAAGAGAGAGAGAGAGAGAGAGAGAGAGACTGAGATAGGTAGATAGATATACAGAGAGAGAGAGAGCGAAAGAGAAAACGTGGATAGACAGATATAAAGACGCCATAAACACAAGTAAAGTGAATAGAAGAAAGACAAGACAAGATCGGAGAAGAGAGTCAAAAAGAAAAAGAAATAATAAAGCGAAAAGAAGAGAAAATAACAGGAACAATTTCTCACATTGCTAACCACTCACTTTGCACAGACGGTGAAGACGAACGTTTCATCGGAAGCCAAGACGTATTTTGGCGGCGTCATCTTGACCTCAAACCGCGGCAAGACGTACTCCTCGACCTTGAATCTGTTTGTGTTCATCCTGCCGTCAGGCCCCCTGATGTGGATGGTGTAGGAACCCTGTGAATGCAAGTATGAGTCAGAGACTGTGGTTCGGAGTTGCAATGTTGTCAATGCAAAAGAAAAAGAAAAGGGTTTATTTATATCTGTGTTGGAGAAATATGTATGCAAAATGGGAAAATATAGTGCTGGTATTCTCAGTCGTAGTATTTATCTACTCTTGTTTTCACGTTTTAAGTATTGTCTGCGTAACCCGCAAGACAAGAGTCATTGTGATGGAAAATATTCATTGCCTAAGGATACAACGTTCAATCGTCAGAATCGATGTTACCATCAACAAGATAGCTAGCCTTATAGTCAACAGAGTATTATTGATGCTAGTTTTTAACTTGAAATAGGATTTTTTTCTCTTTTTGCTCATATAACACATATCTTTGATTTTCCTCTCGTGTTTCCAAAAAAAGATATTTACTTTCTATGTAAATCTATAGATTAACTGCTATTCATCGTGAAATCATGATTATAATATATCTATCACATAACAACGTATATGGAAAACAATACTTATCAGTAGAGCATCTACGGTGTTCGCAAAACTGACGAAATTCTATGTCTATAAATTAGTGATGTACATTTATCATGCTCATATATAACAGTGTGATATCATCTATATGTTTTGTCCTTTTTCTTTGATCTGGAGAATTAAAGATTGCATACATAAAGCATGCGCAAAAAGACACACATGATAACACACATACACAAGATAGTTTATGTCTGTTACTGTTATATTTTACCTGTCATCTAATGAATTCAGCAACTTCTTATTCTTTACTAATCCCTTCTTCCCTTCCTCCTTCCACCCCCTCCCCCCCTTCTTGCGGATCTTTTTCCATTTCTTTTCCTCTTACTATCTTCTTTTTTTTAAATTCTCCTCTCCACTTCCCCTCCAGTCCTTTTCTATCTTCTATATTCCTCTCCCTGCCTCTCCTATCTTTTCTCTCTTTTCATTACCCTTCTCCGTTTCTTCTATTTTAGTCCAAGCCTTTCAATCGTCCTTTCCCTCATTGCTCTAGTCCACTTTTCTTTTCCCTTTTCCCTCTTCCCTTTCCTCATCCTCTTTCCTCTCCTCATCCTCCTTTCTCTCCTCATCCTCTTTCTCTCATCTCACCTCCTCGGATTCGTCCGTCAGCTGGAAGGCCAGGTGGACGAGACCGACTGATGTGGTGACGTTTTTCCACTGGGCGATGCGTGTTCTGGATGGCGTTGTGACCCAGATCTCCGGGTACTGAAAATGTTATGTATAGGTTATATATCATTTATATATATATATATATATATATATATATATATATATATATATATATATATATATATATATATATATATATATATATATTATGTTTGTTAAATGTGAAGTCTGATTTGTCGTTGTGAATTCGAATGTTCATTAGCTGTTATTCAAATGCTTATATATTGCATTTATTACTGCCATTATCATCAATATCACTATCACCATTATCATTGTTAGATTTATTATTACTATTATCCTAATCATTATATATTCCTTATCTTTTTATCATCATTATCCCTACTCCCATCACCGTTTTAGACTCAGGATCCCCACACTTATCACCGCCATCCTTACCGGCTCCATAGCGACCTGAGCCTTGGACCCGTACACAGTGAGGGCTCTGAACTTGACCTCCTGACCTGGCTGGTACAGGTACTTGTCCGTCTGGATGAAGGTCAGGTTGTAGCTCCTCCTCAGCCTGATGTTTCGGGTCTCGTTCAGGTCGGCTCCGCCCACTTTGCCGATCAGATGAAGGTCACCTCCGTAGTCATCAGCTGGTTCTAGATTGATGTCCACACATTTCTCTGTCTTTCCTGTGTGTCGATAGATGTTTATTGATTTTAAAAAATGTCTCTACCTTTATAAATAATACCTCGATCTGTTTAACAGTCATTTTATGAAGAGAGAAAGTCATAGGGGATGGGAATGAAAGTGAAGAAGAGAAAGGAAATGAGAAAAATAGAAAAAGGAAAGAAAAAGAACAAGAACAAAAAATAGAGAAAGAGAACGAAGACAGTGAAACAGGGGAGGGGGGACGAGAAGACAGACAAAACACAAAACAAATGGCTTTAACTGACCTGCCGGGATCTGGATCGTGTGTCCGGCCAGGAGAGTGTTATTAACCCGTTCGCCGCTCCTGTAGCTCCTCGAAGTCATGCTCAGGGTGACGCTGCCTTCAGGAGACGCCGGGTTGGGGACGTAGACGCACACTTGGTTCTCCTCTCCCGCCTGCCACTGTCGCGGGGTGGTGATGTAATAGGCTCTGGGGGGGGGGGGTGGAAGTTATTATATGTTTGTTTTATTCTTTTATGCTTCTTTGTTAATTTGACTAATTGTTTATTTATTCATTTATTCACATCTCCATCTACTGATTCATATTTACTTACTCATGTATCTATTAATTTATTTATATATACACTTTTTTCTGGGGGCGGGGCTAGTACTGTTATGTTGTGTGTTTATTTAATAAGTAGATTCTTTGGATCGGGAAGGAAAGGGAAGTTTTTTTACGATTATCTTGAATTCTCATGATTATTATCATGACCCTTATCGTCAGCAGTATCTATCATTACAGTCATGATAATCATCTTTGTGATTATCATTATTGTTATCATTATCATTACCATTACTGTTAGAAATATCACTATTATTGTTATCATTCTCATTATTATTGTTGTCATTCTCATTATTTCTATCACCATTGTCATCATTTCAATCATTACCATTATTACCACATCTATAATAATTATAGATCCTATACTATAATAATTATCATTATAGTATAGGATCTATTCTTATATGGGTGATGACAAAGCTGACAAAGGCGACCCCCGAACCGGCCCTTCCCCAAGCGCCTCCTCGCTCTCTCAGCGGCCGCAGCGAACCGCCCACACAGGCGAAAACACGCTCCCCTCCCCTCCCCCTGGCAACACTCCGCAAATTATCATGTCTGGGACACGCTGGGGCTCGTTGGGGCGTCGGGGAGGGGGGGGGGGCTGAGGTGACTTTCTCTCTCTCTGTTTCTTTTCTGTTTATATCTTCTCCGTTTTATCTTTTTTTTTTCAATTTATTCTCTCTCTCTCTCTCTCTCTCTCTCTCTCTCTCTCTCTCTCTCTCTCTCTCTCTATATATATATATATATATATATATATATATATATATATATATATTTTGTTTCTCTCTATTCCTTTCATCTGTATTCTATGTTTTCCCTCTCTAGGCTCTCTCTTTTTCTCTCTTTTCTCTGTCTCACTCACACTTCTCCCTCCCTTTCTATTTATCTCCCTTCTTTCTCTATTTTCTCCGTCTCTATTCTCTTTCTCTATTCTCATTCCCTCCCTCTCCCTCACCCTCTGTCTGTCTGTCTGTCTGTCTCTCTCTCTCTCTCTCTCTCTCTCTCTCTCTCTCTCTCTCTCTCTCTCTCTCTCTCTCTCTCTTTCTCTCTAGCTTCCCCGAGAGTTACAGCTAACTTACCATTTCCTTTCCTCGCTCTCGCTCTCTTTCAACCCCTTTCACTTTTACAAATGCAAATATATATTTGTATATAAATATACATCTTTAATTCACACTTACATCACCTAGTGTTCGATCCAATTAATAAGTAAATAAATAAAGTGATAATATCAAATAAATAAAACAGAATAACGAATAAAATAAAATGAAATAAAAGTCAAGAATCCGTAAACACCCAATGGACAAGTATATACAAACAAATCTCAAACACACGCACTTGCACACGCAAGCATGAAAACACACACACACCTATACAAAGCACACGCACAGTTGATCGGTGCAGAACCAGACAAAGCCTATTGCATCACCATCCCACGCTACATATAACAGCGCAGTTGACTGAGTAGTGGGTGCGGTGGTGATTGCAAGGAAGAGAAATTGCATCATAAATTGCTGGTTTATTGCATGTTTCTTGCGTCCGTTTCTAAATTCGGTTACCATGCTGTCTCCTGTGAAGAGGATTTGTTTAGCCTCACCTGTTGCTTTTGTAAATTTTGTAAATGACTGTCATTCGGGCCTTTGTTGTCATTCATTCAGTCATGAGAGATATCGGTAAGTGTTTTATGTGAATGCGTGTGTTAGTGTGTTTGAGAGAGTGAACGTCGATGTTCTGTAGAAAGTGTTTATAAAAGGTCTTGTTATGAAAGTAAATGTAGATATTCCGGGAAGTTTCCGGAATGTTTAGTACTTTTGGGTGGAGCTAACTCTCTCTCCTTCCCTCCCTCCTCCCTCTCTCTTTCCCTTACTCTTTCTCTTTCCGCAAATACTGCTTCAGCAAATTCCTGATAACTGTACATCCAGGACATGGACTATCACCCCAATCATATGCTCCAACAAACATAACGATAACAAAAGCACGTTCACCAACAATACACCATCAATAGCAATTACTGGGAATTCCACAGGAAGTCATCAACACCGGACATCCGTTGTTGCAAAAGGAGAACTCTGCAATTCTCTATACGCAGTTGCACACAACTGCATGTATGCGGACGCCCCATAACGCTAACACAGAAGTGCTCATAGAATGCTTATAATTATTGTATAAGTATTCTTTGAATACGTGTCTTGCAGATTATCTCTCTTTGCATGTTAACTAGATATATACCATATGATTTTATCCTTATATTTCTCTTTAGAGGAACTGGAATAATTTAAAACCTTCATTTCCATCCCTTTATCATCTAGTGTCAATGAAAGTAACACACAAGAGGAGTTTTCATCCCGTCGACTTTTGCAAATAGGGAGGAAGAGGAGGAAAAGGAGGAGGGAGAGGAGGAAGAGAGCTAGTAAAGAAGGGACACAGTTCAACAGAACAATGAAGAGGCGTTGAATAATTCGAAATAATAAAATGCAATAATTAAAGAAAAAATCTGATCGGTAAAACGACGAACAGAATAAAATGAACAGACAATGAACAGGGTTTGCGTGGGCGGGGCTTGATGACGTCACCAAGGGGTTAGTCACCAGCCTCTCGCGCGCAAGTCGGACGTCTCTTGTTTCTTGTCTTTGCCTGGAGGTGCTTGCCGTTGCAATGGCCAGAACCAGAGCCCTTTGTTGCATGTCTCCTTGCAATTATCGTATTTGCTTTTGCTGTTCTTCTTTTGTTCTTTTGAATGTTCCCTTGTGAGAGAGCTGTTCTTTCTCGAGTTTTTCTTTTTATCATTTATTCCGGTATTTCTTGTTTTAGGTTCTGTTATTCTTTATATAATTCTTTGTACACTTTCGTTTCTGGTTTCATGTTTTTTTTTTAATGATTTTTTTTCTATCTCTCTTTTTCATCCCTTTTTGTTCTGTTCCTGCTACTCCTACTTCTCCATATCGTTTTTCTCCTCCTCTTTCCTTCTTAATTTCCTCCTTCTGCCCTTCTTCTTGTTCGTTTTCTCCTCGTCTTTTGCTTTCTTCTTTCTCTCCTCCTGTTTTTTTTTTCTCTTTCTTCTCCATCTCTTTTACTTCCTTTATTCCATTCTACACCTGTTTCCTCCTTCGCCCCACCCCCTTCATTATATTTTTTCCTCGTCCTCATTCTTCTTTCTTTCTTCTTCTTTCTCTTTTATATTTTCTTCTCTTCCTCTTCCATCGTCTTCCCCTCTTCTTTTTTTCTTACCCCCTTCTTTATATTTACTTCTTTTTGCTTCATTCTCGAGGAGACTTCGATGCTGACCAAGTAGTTAGGTCTCAATGGTCTCTCGACCTTTTTGTTGTTGTTTTTTTGTTCTTTGTTTATGAACATGCCCCATACATACACACACCCCACACCACACATACACACACTAACTATCTATCTCTTGACATCCAAATACATCTCCGTAGAAATTCTCCCCTATCTCTTCCTGCAGCGTACGTTAGAATTGCTTATTGGCGTGCGTGTATATTACGCATAGCTTTCTCAAGGAGTCCACCTGGAACTCGCATGCAACCAATCACTTCCTTTGCAAGATTTCCAAAAGATATATCTCTTCTCGTGCACGAATTCGGACACAGCTGACTCCTTACTCTCCCTTGTGCATTTCAGTCACTTTTCATTTCCTGTGTATGTTTTTTTTTTTTTTTTTTTTTTTTGTGTGTATTTATTGTCATTTTCATTCACATGTCTACTAATACTTTGGCATAAAAAAAATCTATTTATTTATCTATCAGTCAGTCTTAAGAGAGAAAGAATTTCTTGCCTATCTTAGGTTAAATTTTCTTTGTTTTTCCACTTTTTCCTGTCTGTCTGTCTCCCCTTTCTCCTTTTTTTCTTTCTCTCTCTATCTATCTACTGATCGATTATTTTTCTCTCTCTCTTATATATGAATTTGTATGCTTCATGGATTTATAGATTATTAGCCACTTATTTACAAAGGTAAAAAGTCGCACACACACACACACACACACACACTTACGCACACACATCTAACACACACACAAACGCACACACATCTCACACACACAACGCACTTAAACGTATCCCTTATCTATCAGCCAAATATCTATCACCTTCTCTCTCGTAAACATCAAAACCGCAAATGAAACTCTGACGTGTGTCGTGTCTCGTCCCTCTTGCATGTTTCCCCTTTCACCATAATTATCACCTCTCTCTCTCTCTTCCTCTTTTCTCCTCGGCCTGGTGGTCTCGTCACGATCTTTTCTCTCACCTTCCCTTTCGTCTTCTGACTCAGGTCCTACTTTCTTACTTTCTCCCTTTGTTCTGTTCGTTTTCCTTTTTTTTCTCTCTCTCTCCCACACACGCACGTGTATATATGTGTGTTTGTATGTGTGTGTGTGTGTTTTTTGTGTGTGTGTGTTTGTGTGTGTGTTTGTGTGTGTGTGTTTGTTTGTGTGTGTGGGTGTGCGCGTGTGTGTGTTTGTATATGTGTGTGTTTTTTTTTGTGTGTGTGTTTGTGTGTGCGTGTGTGTGTGTTTGTTTGTGTGTGTGGGTGTGCGCGTGTGTGTGTTTGTATTTGTGTGTGTGTGTGTGTGCGTGTGTGTTTGTTTGTGTGTGTGTTTGTGTGTTTGTTTGTGTGTGTGTGTGTGTGCGTGTGTGTGTGTGCTTGTTTGTGTGTGTTTGTTTGTGTGTGTGTGTTTGTGTGTGTGTGTGTTTGTGTTTATGTGTGTGTGTATTTCTGTGTGTGCGTGCGCGCGTGTGTTTACTCCTCCTTTATCGCGTATCTTTGCGCGCCTCCATTTCTTTACTTTTAATTGCTTCTTGTCGTTTTTTCTTTGTCTTTTTTTTGTGACCGACATTTCTTTACTTACCTTGAATTGGCC